ACCAAAGCTACTTCCCAGAATGCCAACCTGCTGCCAGCCGACTAGGGGAAAGGCCTCCCACAGCTGCCACGGGGCAGAGAGGAACGATTCCCTCCAGTCTCCTGGGCTGTCGGCCTCCCCAGGGTGGAAGGCAAGCAGATGAGCAGGTTCCCACCGTGTCCTTTCTTACCTTCCCCAGGGTCTGGAGTGGAGCCTGGCATGCCTGGGGGTGCCAGTCTTCTGTCTGCTGCCCACAGTGCTGGCAGGTCACGCTCTGCCAATCAGGGCTCTGTGACGAAACAGCACGAGGCACATCCTTGCCTCTCTTACCTGCCCTGTGACGGCCTGGACTCTGCAGGCTCCTGGAGCCTGAGAGGTGCCCAGAGCTTACTCCGAGGTTTTCTCCCAGGTCGGACACACCAATGGCCCCCCAGGGACTGTTAAGTTCTGGGGTACATTTTCCCATGGCCCTGCTCCTCCACCCCAGCCCCTGACTCTCCTGGTGACTGAGACTAGAGCCGTACTGGGTCTCTGTCCCCACTCAGCACCATGCAGCTGAAGGACAAGATTGTCCTTGCAGGCAAGGTGCCGCTGAGGGCCAACCTGCTCCTTGTACTGATGGGAAAAAACTTGGAGGGGAAACGACAGAGGGGTGCCTTAGTGGGAGGTCACGGGGTCTTCTGAGACAGCCACAATTTACTGTAATGGCTGTTCCAGCCCAATTCCCCACTGGGGCTTAGAGAAAAGCTGCCAGTGATCTGTTTGGCTCAAAGTCAGTCTGGGATGTGAGGTCTTGCCCGTTCTCCTCCATGAAGTTTGTCTTGGATGGGACACATCCCATGAGCAAGCCCTGGGGCTGGACGGCCCTAAACAAGAAGTCTGCTGGATCCCAGCGGGCCCACGCCGCCAGGGCAGCTCCAGGATTCCTCAGTGTCCGCCGAGAGTGGGAAGAAGGAGTTCACGATTCACAAAAATATCCACTGGACGCTGACCTAGGGGGGGGCGGAAGCCCCAAGCCCGAGCAGAGTCGCTTGGGTAGAAAGCTGGGCTGAGTCCATGCATGAATGGACAGTCCTCCCATTGGTCCTGGTTACCTGTGGGAGTGACTGGCTCAGCCCCTCTGTCTCCTCCTTACACTTAAAAAAATTATTTTTGCAATAAACTTAAACTTTTGAGCACAAAACAATTTTTTAAAGTCTGCAGAGCTAGTGGGAATTCATGGAAAATACCAACATAAGTCAGAAGTAGCAAAATTCCAGGCGAGGTAAAGCCCCCAAGTCGCAGGTCTCAGGCCGCCTAGTCTGAATCCACAGGTCTGTAGAGGTTGTGTAGTCTACACCCGACTTGCAGCTGGGCTGCTGAGATACAGACAGTGCAAGGGACTTGCTCAGGCTTCCTGGAGAACAGCAGGGCTCTAAGCCCGCAGGTGGCCCTCCTCTGCCAAGCCTGAGGCAGAGTGGAGATCCAAATCCTGCCCCAGAGCTAAGAGCCTCAATTCCAGGGCTCCTCCGGAGCAGGAAGGCCAGGCGGAGTGCTGCAGAAAGGGCTTATGTAAGTGACTTCGCTCCGTGTGGCTGACTTAGCTGGGGGGGGTTGTTCGCCCAAGAAAGTCCTCATGCTGGGGCAGACACCGATGCCTCTGTGACTGGTTCTCAAGGGTAAGGAATATCCAAGGTGTGTGTGTGTGTGTGTGTGTGTGTGTGTATGCACACGAGTGCACACGCACGTGCGCATGCAAGCACTCATACGTGCATTTGGTAGCCATCCCAGCCCGCCCAGCTGTGGAAGGAAAGCTCCAATACCTCTAATTCTGCCCAGCCTGGGAGAGCTTGGGGACAGGGCAGGGTACCCTGGGCTAGAGACCACCACTGGCAATGGTCTCTCAGAGCTCCTGGGAGGATGGCAGGGCACTGACAGGGGAACCAGAGTGAGGGCAGAGACTGACCAGGGAGTCCAGCCCAGGGTGGGGGAGGGAAGCAGCGAGGAGCAGACAGTGGGTGGTGGGTGGTAGGCAGGAGAAGCCGGGAGCCCGGCCAGTCAGTGGGGCTAAGCTGGCTTAGGCAGACGGGCAGCCAGTCTGGGTCAAACGGGGAACACAAAAGGGTTCTTTCGTGGGTACCCCAGAGTGGATGGCTATGGCAGGGGCGGTTAATATCAGTGACACAGCCGTCCACCCAGCAAATCAAGAAAAACGAGAGGCTTAGGATAGGAAATATTGTGCAAGGACCAAGAAAACAAAACAAAAAGCTATGCAGCATTGAAAAAGGCTTAGCTGCCCAGGAAGGAAGAGGAGGGGCACTACAGCACCCGGAAAACCCCGCAGAAAGAGAACGCTTTGAAGAGTCTTTCCTCCAGTTTTTGCTTGGAGAAACATAGGCTCGTGCTGTCTCCTTCCGTGAGCTCGGTCTTAGCCAGGCGGCAGAAAGAGAGAGGGCCCTGGAATCGAAGTCCGAGGAGCTGGGGACGAGGTTCCCACGAGCAGGCAGGACAGTGCCGTGTCTGCCGGAGCCTCCGCACACAGCAGACCTCCGTTGTCAGGTGCCCACCTGAGCCCCGTCGCCAAGCCCAGGTTCTGGGGCTGCAGCCCACACGGCTGCACTGGTTAGTGCTTGGCTCTGTGGTTTGTAGCTCATTAAGTGGGCAGCTCCCTGTGGCACGTGGCTGGGGGCATCTCCGCCCTCCCTGTCCCCTCCATTCCAGGAAGGAGCAGCTCTCGGAGCTCTAAGTCTGGTCCTGATGTACTTGATTTGAGGAGTGGGGGGAGTCCCTACCGGGACCAGGAGAGACACCTCAGACATTAAGCCTTCGAGACCTGGGTCTCCGCCAGGGGGCTTGCTCTTGCCCTGCCGGCAGGTCCATCCTGGACCCTCGGTTGTCCCTTTTACAGCTGTAACCACTGCTCTGTGACCCCACCCATGAACTGTCCCGCTGCCACAATCCCTCATTGTGCCCCTGAGTAAACAAGCCTTGAACAGAATAAAACAGTTATTGTAGGGGCGGCTTATAGGAGCCCTATTTGGTTGGTATTTGTTTGGAAATGGATAAACCACCCCAAGCAGGCCTTACACCCTCCGAATCATGCCCCCCGACCCTGTGGTATTGCTACGCCTGCCCCAGTGTAGGCCCTCGGAGGTGGTGACTGGCTCAGGCAGGATTCTGTAGGGGCAAGTCCCAGAAGGCACACTCAGGCTGGGAGCCACCCTCTCTCTGGGCCAAGTGTACCTTCGAGCCCCTTCACCAGGCAGGCCTTCCTCGACCTCAGTGGCATCCGTCCTTGTCCTCCTTCCACTCTGTGACTTCCATAGTCAGTGTATGCTCACACTGGGGTCGCAGGTGAAAGCCACTGGGTTTAGTCGTGGGGGGCTTGCTCCCCATCAGACCTCCAGCTCGGGGTGCTAGGGGCTCTCTGCTTTGCCACTGCAGCACTTCCGATACCCAGCATGCAGTAGGTGTCAATCTGTCACTGCATCCGCTGATCAGTGCGAATGAATGCAGGCTTGCTCTAGGGGCCCCTGGGTGGGGACCCTGTGGTTTCTGAAGCCCCAGACCTCTGCTGGGGGCCATGCTGAGCTGCATACAGGATGGTCACCCCCAGAGTTATTGGACCTGTCGTGCTCATGCACCAGGCAGAGTCTGCGTCACCAAGGGGGCCTGACCGGGTGTTTGGGGCCCCATGAGGCCATTCGTTCCCTCTTGTCCATCAGTGACAGGGTCCAACAGCGTTTCAAAGCCTCAGCCTCCTTGCTATTCTCTAGAATGACTGCTGTCCTTAAATATGTCTCTTTCGAGCCAAGAATAAGCGCCATGCCACCTTCTCGCAGAGGCCATGCCGGCCCAACTCTGATCCTGGGTGTCTTCCAGGACTCCTGGCCACTTCTCTCAGGGGCATAGCCGTCGCCGGGCGGCTCTTCCTGGCATTCAAGGACTCGCTGTCTGTCTCTCTGTTGGTGACTCTTGAGTCCCTGTGTCTCCCTCAGGCTTTGGCTCAGGGCGGCTTGATTTCCTGCTCACTGTGGGTGGACGGGTGTGGCCCAGCGAAGGGGCACTTGCAGAGCCAGTTCTAGCTCTGGGCCTAGGGTTCCAGAAGGGGCTGTCCTCAGCGGACCCAGGCCACCCAGCCCACCCCTGTGGTTGCCCAGGCAGGCCCAGCCTTTTTTCCCGGGCAGACTCCCTCATCAGCCCCGTGTGACCTCTGGGCTTCTTCCTCTGCAGGTGACCCTCCTCGGTGCAGGGACCCTGCTCCCTCCTGCCCCTTCTGGAGCCACTTCCTCTGTTTCTCCTAGCAGAGTGTCTCCCCACAGTCTGGCATTGTGCCTACAACTCTGGTCTCCTCCCCTAACTTATGGCCCAGCACCCCCTCGCTGGGCCCCAGTTCAGCCTCTCAGGACGCCCCCCTGAGCCATGGCAATATAGATGGCTTCCCTGAACTTCCTACCAGAATGCCCTGCTCAGGTCTGGCTCAGTTCAAAGGCTACCCACCCCAGCTCTGCCCACCCTGTGCCCCCAGGACGGGGGAGGGGTCTAGTCCCCCTCCCTCACAGCTGCCTGCCCATGGGCAGCGTGCTCAGCCTGGCGATGTGCTGGCGGCGGTGCGGGGGTGCTGTCTGGACACAGGCCCCTTTGTGCCCAGCCTTACTTGGCTGCTTGGTATGAGGTTCAGCTGCTCCCAGATCCTTCCCCGAAGGGGAGCAGGCAGGTTTTGGAGGGGTTGGGGGCTCTCGGCTCTAGCTCCCTCCTCTGTGTCACCTCTCAGCGGCTAGCAGCAGCTCCTCAGGTGGGCTGGGACACCTGGCACAGGGTACTGGGGGGCTGGTGAGGGAGGCTCTGCTGGGCACCCCCTGGCAGCCGCTCCTCCCTCTCCCTGCCTCTGCCAGGCCTGCCTGCAGCCCTGCCAGCAGTGGGGAAGCCCAGAGAGGGGGCGGGGCCTGGAGGGCCCTGGTGTCCCCGCTCAGGGAGGTCCAGAGGGTCAGGTGCGGAGCACAAATGCCTTGCTGATAGTAGCTTCTCTCTTGTCCCCACAGAATGGTGCTGTGCCCGGTGAGGCCACCAAGAGGGACCAGAACCTCAGTCGGGGCAACTGGAGCAACCAGATCGAGTTTGTACTGACGAGCGTGGGCTATGCCGTGGGCCTGGGCAATGTCTGGCGCTTCCCATACCTCTGCTATCGCAACGGGGGAGGTACCAGCCGGCACAGGGCAGGGACCACCCACTGGGCACAGAACCCACCCCAGACAGGCAGGCCATCTTCGCCCCCACCTGTGGCTTAGGCCCCCTCTGCTTCAGGCACGGCCCTCCCCCAGCCCCTGGCAGCCTGTTGTCTGGGCATGGCACTGCCAGCCTGCCTGCTCCCCTGCGTGAGGGGAGGTGAGAAAAGCACTGCAGCCTCGGGGGTTCCCTGCCTTAGCCCTGTGTTCCAACAGCTCCCTCCCCCAAAGGTCTGGGACATTTGGAGGTCCCAGCAACTTGTGTTTGTGAAATTGCTTGGTGAAACCATCAAGTCGTATCCAAACCTGGCAGCTCTGGGATTCTGCTCAGAGCAGAGTTTCCTGGGAGCCCCTGGCAAGTTCAAAGACAGGCTGGGGGTGAGTGCCACAGACCCAGGCTCCTGCTCAGTGCCCGGCACACTCCTCCGTGGGCCCTACCCAGTGGCACAGGTTTGGCTGTTGGGGTCTGAGCAGGAAGTCCGGGGCCAGCCCGCGCCCACCCTGAGCCGGCCCTCTCCCCGCTGCCAGGCGCCTTCATGTTTCCCTACTTCATCATGCTGGTATTCTGCGGGATCCCACTCTTCTTCATGGAGCTCTCCTTCGGCCAGTTTGCCAGCCAGGGCTGTCTAGGGGTCTGGAAGATCAGCCCCATGTTCAAAGGTGAGGCTTGGGTGGGCCACATGCTCACGCACCGACACGCACTCATTCAGGTCATGTGCTGACTCGCCCATCTGTGCAAACACTGCTGACCCTCGTGGAGCCCTGGTGCTGACCCCACGCCGCACGCCAGCGGCTAAGCGCATCGATGCATGTGGGGGGTCCCTGTTTACTTGACCCCCCCCACTACGTGCATAGACAAAACTCCTTTGCCCCTAGCAAGGCCTTCACCTGGCTCTCCGGCTTCCCATCAAAGCCTGCCCCACCGCTGGCCCTTAGAAGTAGTTAACCTCGCCTCCTGCCGCTAGGCGTGCGAGGCTCCCGCTCGTCCTGACAGCACTGACCGGTGGCCTCCCCTCCGCAGGCGTGGGCTACGGCATGATGGTGGTGTCCACGTACATCGGCATCTACTACAACGTGGTCATCTCCATCGCCTTCTACTACTTCTTCTCGTCCATGACACCTGTGCTGCCCTGGGCCTACTGCAATAACCCCTGGAACACGCCCGACTGCGCCAGCGTGCTGGACACCACCAACCACACTAACAGCTCCCAGCCTCCCGCGCCCAGCAACCTCTCCAACCTGCTCAACCACACCTTCCAGAGGACCAGCCCCAGCGAGGAGTACTGGAGGTGAGGCGCGCTGTGGACGGGGCAGCCCTGGCCCTCCTCTGCATCAGGCTGCCGTCTGAGGCCTGGTCAACTCCCCGCTGCACTTCAGCCCTCGGCTGGGGCTGGGGCTGGGGCTGGG